TGCTAAATTAGGGACGGCTAGCGCAGATAGCCCTCGTATAGCTTTGCGCGAAATTCAAAAACAAACAAACATACTAGAAACACTTCACCCGTAATCTCATATTTCTATTCAAAGGTTTTTAAAAGTATTATACGAAGATGAAACATATGATATCCGTTTTTTAAACAATTTATTGGACGGGAAACATACTACTGCATTGTTATTCATGGAACATTTGAATTTCTTTCTCGGTCTCAAAGTCCGGTTATCTTGAAGTTAATAGACTGAAAATATTCACGATCCTCTGTAATGTTTTTGTTTGTTTGTTTTCATCAATACAATTTCACTATGTATGAAAGTCGACTTCAAAGGCTACCAACAGAGTTACACAAGAACAACTTTATAATGACTGGTAACATCCATTTGCTAGGTATGTTTTTGGAGGTTACAAGACACATCTTGTTTGAAAGTTTTCGCACAGTTCAAGTACGCAACTTTCCTTCGTGTAAACTCCCTTGGCTACCACGTGGTTTATTGCAGATTACAACAACTGTCTGTTAACATTTGAGGTACATAGACCTTTCGATGTTGGTCCACAAATAACAAGGTATTATTTACTTACTTATTTCCTTTCAAGCTTTTCTCACGGCTTCAGGAAACAACCTTCTGTTTTACCTACATAATGATGTACAAGTTTATATACCATTTCCCCACAGTGCACTCATGCTTTGTTAGTTACTTTAGTGCCACCTAACAGGCAGAAAAGAAACTGTTTAACAATGGTATTTATTGGAGAAGGTAAATAGGCGAGAGAAGCTGGCAGTGGGCGTCACGCAGAACTGAAAACGGAGATGACCATTATTCGTAACTGCCTTTCGTGATCAGTTCAATGCTTTCTACTGTTTTGTATGATGTTGTATACAAGTGAATCAACATTGTGAACCTTTATTGATGTCGTTTTACTGAGTACTATAAACAAAGTGGCTGTGGTTACGCAACAAAGTAAATTCCCAACCAAGTCTACTCCAGTAAAATAGAGCATCGTATATTAATGGTCACATAAATGATATTGCTAAAAAAATACATGTGTAATATTTATTTTTGTTATGTTCAAACGGGGCTCAATCTTGAATCACCAAATATTATACCAGTTTGCAGCGTAGCATTCACTACTATGATAATAAAGCATTTGTAATATTTATTTTTGTTATGTTCAAACGGGGCTCAATCTTGAATCACCAAATATTATACCAGTTTGCAGCGTAGCATTCACTACTATGATAATAAAACAACGGGGTATTTACACAAGTACCGACATTTTGTGTTAACAGAATCTATAAGATGAAAAACAAATTTCGAAGAAAGATCAAGTTTAATATATTTTCGAACACGCAAGTATATTGTTA